CAAAGAAAAGGCCTTGATCCTGTATGAGAAGCTACTGAGCATTCCCATGGATAAGTTCTTCAGCACCTATGAGAATAGGCCAAGACATCTGAAAACGCAATCTGGTCTAATACAGAAAGCCATAGAACTGAAGAAAGCATTACAAATCTATGACAAAATCAAAATGCCTCTCTCTACCCATGAACCCATTAGCAGACACTGATATAGTGTATTGCACCCAACTGCTTGACTTCTTCAGGAAATCAAACACCCCTCCAGAGCAAATGCGCTCACTGACCCTTGAGACAATCAATGTCAACTATCCTGCAGATCAATGGCTCCAAGTCTTCACTGATGGGTCATACATAGAAAACCAAGCAAACATTGGTGCAGGTGTCTATTCTGAACTCTTCTCTTTCTACGCAGCAGCGGGACACAATAGATCCGCTTTCGAAGGAGAAATAGAGGCCATGAGGATAGCACTATGCCAATTATGTTGCCTGGATACGAAATTCACCAAAGCGGTGATACTTTCGGACTCACAGTCAGCAATAAACTCGATTGGAAACAGAGAGCCACCCAAAACAGCTGAGATAAAGGAATGTAGATGGAGATGGTGAAGTTTCACGGGGGAATCTAAAAATCGAATCGGTTTTTGTTCGTTTCGCGATCGCATGGCAGGCTCTAATTATGCTAACTCAACTGCCATAAATCATGAATAAACCGAATACAGTGATAGAATATTCACTTTTGGAGAAAAGGCGTCACCCTTGCGAATGGTAAGCCCACGTTGTGACTAATACATGTTGATAAAGGTTGGAAATGCATGTGCCGCTTGATGTGGAAAAATTGTGCATATGTGGTTTGCAGGTCAAAGAACGTATCTTGCGTGCTTAGAAAGTAGACGAAAAGTGGGTTGAATTTGCAACTGAATAAATAGAGAAAAATATTGCATGATCACATTTTTTCCCTACGTCGTGCTTTTATTCATTACACTAATAACATTCCAGTTTTGACCAGTTGTAATTGGTTAATAGAAGAGATTAGCGCAATGACATGGTGTGACCAATATCTTGACATTATTTATTGGTTAATAAGGCGTGAGTGCCGAGCAGACCTCGAGATAAGAGCTTCGACAACGATCTGTTAAAGTCAGAGTTCAAGAAGAATAAGACTCTTCCTTATCCCACTCTCTTCATCCAACATTATGGTGAATCAGTTCGATGTATTTTGACTGTTTGAAGGAACAAGTGATTAGGGGCAGATGTACCGCAAAGTGGCACCAGTGGGTGTAACTATTATCTTAGAAATTCTGCAAATCTGGTGCACAGACCATTGAAAGGTTTATACGAGGGCTGTCGTATCAAAACAACACAATTTTAATTAGTTAGCAGTGTACATAGTGAAACTAAAAAACGTTAATTCAATTAAGTCTAATTATTTTCTATCAGCACTAAAACATGTAGTACTAGAAGTGTGGTCAAAGGAGTTGTTATTTAGCTGGATAGAATAGAAAACTAATTTCAATTTCCACGTAGCAACCAGTTTTTTTTGGCAAAAAAACGAGCATTCAAATCGTCATTTTTTTACAATTAAGACGTCAATAAACGCTAACTGACGGTACAAATAGCAGTATTCAATGTGGACAGTGCAATAAACTGCTCCTGAAGGTCATTTATCACATATTTGGCAAATAGCACAAGAGTTAACGAATTATTGGAGAACGGAGTCCACCCTAGTGCACTGTTTCTACATAGTGCACATAGTGCAGTAGGTCATCAAAGACATGTCAACCGAATCAGATAAAACATTGCAAATCGCATAAACTAGAATGAAGGCGAAATTAGGTACAATATCTTCGATATATTTTTATAATAAAACACTTCCAGGCACAGCACACTAGACCACACATTTCAACAAAGCCTTTAAAACAACCACCACCGTAGCCTCCGAATCATACGCGAGGAGAAGACAATAGCAGCACCAGAAACTCCAAAAACCAAATCAACAGATGGAGGAGATGTGGGAAAAAACAATAGTAATGGGATGTGCAAATGATCGTACTGCATAAGCTGGTATCCAAGACAAGTCTGTAGAGAAGAATCCAATAGGAAGAAGAGGAGGAGGAGGAGAGAATCAAGAGATCTGAAGATGCCAACCAAGGAGCTGTTGATCAAAACCTGTGGTAAAGAGATTGCACTGACCCTCTTCTGCCCACGCGGCGCTGGTTATTGCACTCGTGTGGCCCTTCGAATAGAAAAAGGAAAAATGCAATTAATTCAATAAGCAATATGGACCATAACTTATCGACAGCACCACCGGTTCAGTTGAATTTTACTCAAGACCATTCCATGGAGCTATTTTAAACACTCATCCAAAGCTCCATTAGTGTACTAAAACACAACTTATAAGTTGGATACATCAGAAATTCCTAAACTTGTTGTCGCTAAGTGATTTGAAACAGGATACGCTTTACAATCGCATCAGCCCAAGAGGCAGTGTGGAACATCATGGAAAACAGGGAACATTAACAGGATTGAAAGATTTTTCAGCCAAAACCACATGACACATCACCAATAGGGACTATTATGGCAAGATGATTGCTTTCACCTTTGTATATTTTACGCCTAATTCTATCCTCTTTCGTCCACCTTATAAACCATCATCAATTTGGGATATCTATCAAAGATTTCTGATCAAGAGCTTAAGTAATTCACACTTCCAATGACTGATATTTAAGCGGTCATGATAAGGGGACAAACACCGCTACACTTGCACTGAAATGTACCGCTGTCACTGCGAAGTATACCATGATGAACGAGGGCAACAATCGCAAGGCTTTGGGAAGAATGAATCTCACCAATACACATCCATTGCGGCAAGTGATACATGAATAAAAACAACCACTAATACGAATGAAGCACTAAGAACGAGACAGGTCACACGGTTTTGTAAAAGAGTACCTACATCATCATGAGTTTTATGCTTGTCTCCCCCTTTGACAACCCGATTGGCTAATTCTGATCTGGTTCGGTATATAGATTAGTGTGTCCGTTACCGCATCTGTTCTATTATGCATCTCATAGATGGTTATTTGGTTTATTGTAATACACGTTTATAAGAAATTGAACTATGTTACTTGATTTAAATTAGGAAAAGGTGACAGATTCCAAAATTGCGTAGATTTCGCCTTCGAAATCTTGAAAAACATGTATACATTATTATCGGTAACAAGATGGAATTAGAGAGGTGCGAACATCCTGTTCTCCCCATTGAAAACTGTCCGTCTGTCTATTAGAGAATGAACTTATTCAATAGTTGAAGTGTTGGATTTTGGTGGTTCTCGTAGTAATGAGTATAATAAGTTTTCTTTGAATTAAGACTACCGGAAATGAGCAATGAGCAATAAGCAATTCATATGTTTTACATAAAAATATGCTTTGTAACAAACAGCGACAATTCAATAACAATTTACTATTCAAATCTAACAAGTAGTGCCCACCAACACTCATTGTGAAACTCTATTAGCCTTTCACGTTTAAGTTCCATGATTACCATAGAGAAAACCATAGCTTTTTCCAATGAATAGTTCCATTAATTAAGGACTGCTTACGTGGCTGACATTTCGAGGAATGCGTCCAATTCTCGACCCATTCGAAGAGATTAACCGAAGCGTTCGATTGTCCAGGGGAAGAGCAAGGACACATGACATCATCGAAGTGTTATCAGTGCCTCCTGCCGTATTCTGAGGCGATACACCAGGAGCAATTGTGGATCCGGATGTTCCAGAGATACCCATGGAAGCATTCACTGCTGCTCCTAGAGCAGTCATTGCTGCAGACGCCGTATTTCCACTTTCACCAAAACCGGACGTAGTACTGTTATTTGACTGGAAGAGACTAGATCCAGAAATGGCTAGCCGATTGATACCGGCGTCTGTGCGGACTGTGAAGAGGGGCACACGGAGATTACGAAGATCCCAGAGTCGACAGTATCTATCAGTGCCTGCACTCACTATTTGGTGTGGATTGGAGCCGGGAAGGAACTGAGCGGTGGATACGGTTCTAGAATTCGGAATTTCAAGGTAAGAACTTCTTGAATAGTAGATAGCTGCAAGAATTCAAGCGAATTATCAACTTTACATCGGAAGGTGAAAATAGTTAAAACTAATATTTCACGCATGGTTCAAGGCTCACTTTGATATTGAGAACTTCAAGTAGACTGACCCAAACTATTGGAACAAATCGAATCAGACTATCAGTGTTTGTTAGCCAGGGATGACAACAACCTGGAATCTATATCTGATTATGAAAATTATGATTACTTAAAAAAATTAAAATCCTCTTTTTAGTCATGCTGAAAATGAAAAAAAAGATCCGGTAATAAAAGACTATGATTTAAATATCTACTAACCGAGAAAAATTAAAACTCCCACCAAATACGGGATTCTATCAACGAGGACAGGGAAATTCTGACGAATCGTCAACTTACCGACTATGCGCTTGCTGAACATGGACCTCTAACCGCGGTTGTCTGAAATCCCATACCCTGAACGTCGAATCCCTTGCCGATGTAACCACCACAGGTAGCCGAAGACAACACCTTACATCAGTGAGTTCGTGGTCATGACCAGCAAGCGACTGCACTTCTTGGCCAGTATTGAGATCATAGAGGTGACCGAGACGATCCCAACTAGCGGTAACCAACTGCTCTCGTCCACAGACAAAGTCGGCTGCGGCAAGTGGATAGGAATCAAGAGAGGAAGATGAACCACCAGTGACTCCTGTATCACCCAAACTGGCTGATTGGAATACTGCAGAAGGGTCGCGAAGTTGGATTTGGTGCTGGACATTACCTACAATGCCATTTAGAAAAAAGCCATTTTTTAATCTAACGGTACCTAATAAGCACTGAATTAATGAATAAGCAAATTGAAAAAAATGCAATCGGTTATCCACATTTTCGAACATGGGTCACTGAGTCACGTAACCTCTAGATTTTTTAATTTAATAAATTTACTCCATTCCAATTAGAAGAACTAAGCATAGAAGCGACAAGGTTTTGTCCTTATAATTTCAAAAAAAGGACTGTACTTATGCGTACTTTAACCTAAGAGATTTGAATAATGGGCAACACAATCTCATTTTCGTCCAGTTTGTACTTTTAATCTATCCAACTACATTGTCATTCCCACTCAAAAAAATTAAACTCAAATGTGGACGCGTTGAAATTACGCCTATCCATTTATTGCAATCGCATATCGATTGATTCTCTCAATATTGGAAATATCTCAGGTTATTTCCCTTACACTTTTCAGTGTTAATTTTATTTAGGAAGTTATTCGCCCAAAATTGTTAATGACAAATAGCACCACCTAAAAATTTCGTCGCACACAACGTGCAGGTTCAAACGACCTGAAAACGAGACGAAAGGTTTGTACTTTTACAGCAACCTGCCCTATTTTAAGTAAAATCTTTACGGCATTAACTAATAAGAACATGGTGCTAACTTACCCAACAATGTATCTAGATCACGTCCACTGGATGAGATATTTAGTTCACATTCAAATCAGTCGATCACGAAAAAACAGGAAATTCAACTACCCTTAGGTAGAAACACTCCAACCCAATACTTTCAAACTGGATTCAAGGTCATTAGAAGAAGTGTAGGCAAAATAATTTGAGTAGATACAAAGTAGGTATGAGAAAGTCTCATTACACCAACCACTTTGTTGATTTACACATTGACTGGCGCGGTGCATAAACCTCACGAATATTTATTGCTGATTTAGATTAATTCGAATTTATAATTTCATAACCGATAAAGCTATAACATCTACAAATCGAATGGCCCTAAAGCAGACTATAGGTAGCACAGTTTCTAAGGCGAAAATTGGAAATATTTTTACGTTAAATGATCCGAAAATGTCCTGGAATTAATATAATATAAGCTAACTTAGTTGGTCTACTTAAGAAACCAAATCAACAAATTTCCGCGAATAAGTAGAAGACAAAAAAAACTTTTAAATTCCGACTTATAGAATAAATGGCGTTCACTTGAGCGCACTCGACCTCCACTGGATGCTAAAAGACGTCTCTCAACAACGTAAATTCGAACGTTTACCCATATAAAATTTCACATCTAAATGGAATCATTAGCCTCAAATGTGGACATATCCACAATTTTACGGAAAATGAAAAGTACAAATGGTTTTCAGTGACAAATAACTATGAGCAATTACACTTCCCATGCTTCTAATAAGGCCATTATTTTTTGTTCACCGACTTTACATCTCCAAAACCTGTCATTTAAAATTGTAGAGAAATCATTTTTGTGAAATCGCGCTACTGACCTGAAATCACCCACAAAAAGGAATGAAGCCTTAAGGACATCGTAAGAACTTGAAAAGACGTAATTAGGAGAGATTAGAAAAGGTGACAACCTGAGCCATATTATAACACAAACGCCCTTACGATCCCTGTTAATTGACTTACATCGATCATCAAGCAACAAATCGACATTTTAAACACGAAATAATAATAGACACCAAATTAAATTCTAACAATATACTAAGATGAGTATGCAGTTTCTAATACTTCACGAAATTGAAATATTAGATGCAATTAACTGCACAGGTGTCTTATATCGGAGAAGCATCTATGTGAGGAATCCACCATTCAAAAAACATCATACTTTGTGTACCTTCTTGAAGTTAGGACACAGGGTAGGTCCTAAAAACTTTCCACTTCTCATACTCCAAAATCTAGCCTCCTTTTGCATCGCACCCTATTAACATGTATTTAACAATTTTCACAACAGCTAATGCCGAATACATAGGGGGCATCCGAGGAGATATAAAGACGAGGTTTTAGTTATTAAAGGATCACTGGTTAGGGAAAGGAACTGCCGAACATTGAGCACCGACAAAGCTAAGAGTCATTTTTTATTTTGTAAAGAATAATTGACTTGGACTTAATATATCCAAGTTACAAATCAATAGTCGTTATTTAGTAACACGTAAGCAGGTATGTCAAATTGAAATGCAAGTGAGAAGCTAAAATTATGCACTCACCATCAGTTATGTTTTCATTCTCCAAATACGCGCAGTCTTCTAAAAATTAAAAAATGTGTATTCAATGTTTAATATAATTGACAAAAAAAAATAGAAATACTCAAAGCGATAAATATGGCATCATTAATAGAGACTGAGGAAACAAAACTGATCGCTCAAACCTCATGGACATCGAGGAATAAGTCGATATTGACAAAGAAGTCTAATAAAAGCCTGCTGATTAACACGAGGCACCGAGAACGATGCTCATCAGGGCGCACTCAGTGATGTGGATGACCAGTCAACTGTGGTTAATTCAGGACCAAAGCAAGGAGAGTGGGAGAGGGAAATGCATCCCACTAGCGCATCCAGGATACCCTTTCCCATTAACCGAATTATGTGCTGTTAGCACTTTCCTTAAAAAACTTGAAGAGCCTTTCATAAAAGGAGCGCTGAACAACATAAAAGACAAATTCCGATTACAGTGATTCTGTATGTATATACGACTAATCAGGTGCCATTATTTCGGTAGAAAGAAAAAAAGTAAAGTGTGACTCCACAGACACACTTAAAGACCCCCCCCCCACCACCACCACCACCACAATTAAACATTTGTGACGCTACCTAGAAAGATAAAATACTTAAAAGTACAAAAACGATATGCCAACAAAGCATATATGCTAAACAAAAGCTAACAATTGATAATCGGCCAATTAAGCAGACAAATAGATTACTAGGCAAATGAATTAGCCGACGTCTTCCAAAGCAGTTAAGCATCTTATTGATGACGTTTGTTAAAAATTAAATAGCATTGAACAAGTGAATAAATATCCAAATTCAAACACCACATTTGGCATCCTTTCAAATATTTTCATTTATTAAAATAACGCTTGAGACGAAGTCCACAACTAACAAGTCAATATAGCAAAAAGTAAACTAAATGTAGCCTACTTGAGGCAAACATATAATGGTCACTTCTGGCAAAGAAAAAAATAAACGATGCATGGGGGGGGGTGGGGTGGCAGAGTCATATGACAATACATTAAACCATGATTGGAAAATAATAATAGTCTGCCATCTTGATGATTTCATCTGGAGAGAAGTGAGCGGATATAAGCTTATCTATGATTCAGCTCCCTTTCATGAACCCTATTGTTCCGCCATATTTAGCTTTACGTCTATCGACTATCTAGTTGTGACGACGTTTGCAGACATTTGTATAGCTTGGCGAGTTTACTCCGTGCTATGTTAGAGGATTGTAGGCAGTAGAACCTGCGTTTTTTCATACCATCACACGCACACGCACACACACGCACAGACTCGCTATTATGGATTGAGGACAAATGTAAATCTGAAGAAGCGGTGGCCTATTTGCAGACTCTAAAAGTCACTAAGTTGAGTCTGAATAATAATTTTATCAGAGTAGCCAAGTAAAATCTCCTCCCACGTTTGTCAAATTACACCTAGTCTAAACAAGCTCACAGATATTAACGTCCATGTCATTGCAAGTGCAAATGAAGGAGGATACACCTACCACCCTCAGTGAGCTGAGAATTTTCAAAGTCACCGGAGGCACCTTGACATGCGTTGGAAGTTGCATATTGTCCATCGGAAAAGAAGCTGGGAGGGAGGGCAATGAGGTGAGCGGTGCCATCCCCACTACCAGTAAGCATGAGATTGTCACGATCACGAAAACGAACGGAGTTCACTGATCCTGAGTGACCAGAGTAGATGAGTAGGCAGCTGGAAAGGGAAACAGAAAAGTAGTTGGTAAGCATAACTACCAGAAGGAATTTGCTGTAGACTTGGGACCAATTCAATTAACGAGGAAGAGCGTGGGGCAATAGAATGATGACAAGTCACATATTCAGGGTAAGAATGGTTATTTAATAAGTAGGAAATACATAAATCTACTAATCAACATGCATATCTAACGTGGAGGCAAGTAAGGACGTGAAAATCTCCCCAACAGCACTCATTCAACGATTTACGAAAACGGTGATAAAATGATTTACTAATTATGAGTTATTGATAACACTACACAGTAATATCCGGATTAAACGTTACCTCAAACATGTACAAAGAGAAATATATTTAACATTTACCCTGGTGAAGAAGGACGCCATGGAGCAACTATTACAAATTGTGGCCGGTTACTGAATGTACAAACATATTGCATGACAAAACTCATCAAATTAGTGCGCAAACACCATGATTTGATGTTGGCGAGCCCACTTACTTGCCTATTTGACGTTTGATGACGCATATAAGTAGACTGGTTGATCTTAATTAGTACTAACTATAACTAAGTTCAGAAAAAAACGATGGGAGTAACAAAATTGGAAAGACGCGAAGAAGGTAGATTGATCGGTAAGTGAAATTAGTAGATAGTGTTAACAACCTTTTAAGAACGAGAATAAACCTCAAGTACAACATATCATACCAACTTCTTTAAAATCTAAGATAGAAAAACAACATATAGGGCTACCAAATGAACCACGTTGTCTATTTTATTCGCAATAACTTGAGTCTATGGCTCTACATATGGAAGGCTGTATTCCAAATGCAACTCAACTTAACAATAATAAAAAATGAAAGTCATTTATTTCTAGTTGCAAGCTCTAAAACCTGAGATTTCAACATTTTGACACAGAACAACCTCCAACAAATTGAAAGCCAATTTATTAGGCAAACATATGGTCGAAATAAGCACAATCACATCATTGGTTGTAAGATAAACAATTAGAGCACATTCAAGGGTTAAGAAATAAAGAAAAACGACCGACTTCCGTAGTACTTTATGGCACACTTGGATGCGAAATTGCGTTGACAAAGTAGTTTGAAAGGTGGCCACTTTGATAAAGGGGAGAAAGTGAGAAAATCGCACCTAGACAGACACTGTAAAAGTGACGAAAACAAGCAAACTGAACCGCGTAACACAATACAAAGCAAATATTTCTATAGAAGTGCTAGAGGGTCTAACGCCCTGGATGTGAAATCGGAGGTTACGGGTACGACTGCCATCGGTATTCACTGCAAATGAAGTATCACTGAGAACAAATTCGATTAAAAAGGTTGGCCCTCCTTCCAATCCAACTCGAAACCCGAAAGCATAAATGAATGAATGCAAAACACATAACCATGGTGGGCAAAAAAGGGAGAACGGAAGAGCTTATTATGGACAAAAATTAGTGGACACCTGAGAATCACTATAAAAAGCCCGTGGAGAAGCACAAATCTCCTAGACACTAACATCTCTTCGACTCCGTATTGATTTAGCCTATAGGCAAGCAGTATAAATCGCGAAACAAGACCATTTGCCTTCCCAACAATTTGAAAAAATGAAATGATTGATGCCAAAACATGAAATTAGCATCCAGTATAAGCATTGAATGCAAATATGTCTCAGAAAGTAACTCGAGCTATTTAAAAAACACCATTTATGGAGGCATAATTACTTCATCAACTATTTACAGAGTGATGGACACACCAGAGATATTAGGAGGATGAAATATGGCCGATAAGACAATAAAAATGTATTAGGGAATGGAAAATAAATAGTGATAATATGGAAAATCAGATGGTAGTTGGATTCATTATAAACCAGAGACGAGACAACGAAATTCTATCTGGTCCCTCTTCCTTTCAGAGAATTTTTAAAAAGCCAATTATCCTCTGAAATGCACCAAAAAGGTGGGGAAAAATGTGGAAAGCGAACCTGGTTGTGGTGCAAATAATATTAAAAATCTCCACAAATGCGCAAAGGTTTGCTTAGAAATTAATATTTTATTTAAATAAGAAGGTCTTTACAAAGTGGCAAACTCGACTGAGATATGAGTAACAATCTTTAAAAACACATCAGAATATCTTTTAACTAGGGAAGAGAACCATTATGCGAAGGAAAGGTAAATCACAAATCGCCTACAGGCTAAGAAAATACTATTAAAACGTTGCCAAAACAAAGCAATAAAAGGAAACTCAAGACAAGATCAATTTCGGTAGAATATTCGAGTCGAGCTATTAATAATAAGATTAAATTTATACCAAGTACATCAATTACTTGTGTGAAATAATGTAATGACCCAAGAAACGAGGAAAATAAACCCGAGTAGTTAAAAAAACACCGAAGTGAAAAAAGCGTTAATATACGAAGGAGCTTAATACTGCGTGACAATAAATGTTTCTCGTAAAACGCTGGAGAAATAAGAAAATGGTATTTTAAGGTTGTGGTACAGTTATTCAAGAGCAAGAAGTCACCTTAAGCAAACTAATCTATACTCACTTAAGGCATCCATTATCACAGCAATGAAAATATTTATAAATTAAAAATAAGCTAAGACTAGTCAATAGCTAGGCACTAGTTTCAACTCACTACTAAATCCAAGAGGGGAAATTCAATCAAAAGCATAATTGTAATGAGTTAGATAGATAATTCCACAAAAATTCGACAAGGAACCAGTCCTATAACCAGTATCTATAAATTAACGAAAGTCCAAGGACGATAAGCTGGAGTGTTTATTGCGAGAATATATGAATCAATACAAGTTAAAGACTGGCAAATACATCTATTTAATATTGTCATGGTTTAGTTAAAAGCGAAAAGCATTAAGGAACCATATTCACGTACTTGTGTTGATCAGAGTTGCTCCAAAGTCGAACGGTTGTATCCGCAGACGCAGAAGCAATGAAGGACCGGAAACAGGTAACTTCCCAAATGCCATCTCGATGGCCAGAGAATCGATGAATGAAATTCCATGAATTAGCACGTGATGACAAGTCATTAGCATTTGAAGAAGACATCTGCCCAGGTCCTGGAAGAGTCAAGCCTCCAGATGTTGGTCTAAGACTAGAAACCAAGCGCGACGTAGACTGCTTGTATTGTTGTTTTATTCTGTGTGACAACTGACTCGCTGTCACTGAACCAATGAAAGATTAATAAATAAAGAGATAAGAACAAAGCTACACCAGAAAAAGCCACATACATTTTTTAGTAAATATGCTCGATTCTGGATGATCCGTGTCCTCAAACTTTTCCAATTTTTCTTGAACTACAACAAGGGGTTTAAAAGCACCTAATAAAAGGGAGGCATACGAGTAAAGTTCTCTGCGCACAACTTTTGGTATTCTCGTTCGAATTCCCTTTCAACTCGTTCAAACATCTTATGCAAGCGACTGCGAAATTCTCGGGGAAGAGTTGATTCTGAAAGATCTGGCGGTAAGGCAGCCGGCCATTCACCATCTGTTTGAGAAGCGGCGCATACCGAAGTAACGCCGGTACCAATAGACGTCATACTTAGAAATTCTTTACATCAGAATAAAAAATAGTATTTGATTAAAAACGCATAGCGCATTGAAATAGACACTACTTAAAAGTAAAGCCATTTACGGAGTAACAAATGTACGAGGTTCATATAATGTCAGTAAATTGCATTTGAAATGGCATGCAAAACAAAAGAATGAAAGAGATGGACAAGAAACAAAACATACCAAACGTTTAACGACATTACGAGTTAGCAAATTGAATACGGGCCCTTTTAGTGGTAATAAAAGCGATATTGAATTTAATAAATATGTGCATAATAAATTATAATATTCATTTAAAAATAGAAAAGTCGTTAATAATAAAATAATTTAACAAAATACCTAATATAATAAAATATTTATATTTGAAAATTATATACGTGCAAAATCAAAATTTCTAGAAAGTCTGCTTTTTATTATTATTTGGTTATACCGTAAAACAGTTGCGAAACTCAAAATACCTAAGATGCTTCGGACGGTCGGCTGCAAGTTTTCGAGATTTCGGATGAACCTCGCTTACTGTCGCTCCTTCTCGGATGAATGTGATAAAGGAGCTAATCGGAAACTAGAACCACATCCAGATGCAGAGAAAGAACCACTCGAGCGGTTCCCTAATGACATAAATCCAAAAACTGGCGAATCTCAAGGACCGCGAGGACCTGAACCCACAAGGTACGGAGACTGGGAACGCAAAGGGCGCTGCATCGATTTTTAAAGAGAGAATTATTTTGATTTAGTTTTTTAGTTTCTTCGATCGAATAAATTTGCTATTCATTACTACTTTTTTTCCCTTCGTGTAATCAGTTTTCTCAATTTTGCTTTTTTCTATAGAGTGGTACACATTTAATATGGTCGTTACGGATATTTTTATCATTTTAGGCATGAATTTACTGGATTCTATATTCAATCGAGAGATTAACGGTGCACGTATTCCTATATTCCCTGGTTTAAGATCTATCCAGCTTAATAATGTTTTGCCACATTCACTGCGTTATGAAGTTATTTTGGGATTCAGTGGAGATGGAAGATTTATTTTGTCTTATTACTTTAGGAGTAATGTATTTAAGTTAACGTTTTGGCTCGTTCCTGGCTATTGCCATTCCCCTTTATCTTGGTTTGATAAACCTTTTGCGGTATACACTCAGTCATTTTCTGAAGGCCGAATCGATGATCGAATTGGAGTTAGATTTATACAGTCTGTTCGGAATCCAATTGAATTTGTCCTTATTCTTGCATGGGTATGTGTTGGTGTGCTGTCTTACGACATCCCATTTAGGGCATTGAAAATGTGACGATCCTATGGGGAACGTTGCCGGAACCAATGTGTTTAGAATGTCAGAGTGCTTTTAAGAAAAATGAGAAGGATAGCACTTTCCTATGTTCTAAGCACTTTTGGTTTATTCGATTTTCTCCCGATTGCCAGTTCTCATCAAGAGAATGTACATCATGCAGCGACCAAAAGAGTTCCCGTTTACCTTTTTATCTAATTTCAAGTAAACAAGAGACTTCCAAGGGTATATCTTGCAAATGTATGTCCGATCTCTCGGCCAGTATTCATCCTTCAATTTGTCCACAAACTGGACGTTTGCGTCTTTCGTGGGTTAGTCAGGGTAATCAGATTCGAGTTATTAGTTGTTCATTTGGCGAGGACTTCTCCTGCATTGTTCCGATGGTATGATTCTGTTATTCTTTAAAATCTCTTTTTAGGGTTCTTACAGAAAGAATTATAAGACTGAATCTATACCGCCTCCTTTGTCAACAAATGGATCGCTTCTAACGAGCAATTATTGCTCTTCTTGCTACTTCTGGGATCCTGAAGGTTGCAGTGTTCGATATTCGCTAGAAAACTCTCCCATTCCCCCCAGTAATTGGGTAGATTTTGATGAACAAAAGGAACAAAATTCAATTAGGGATTGTGATTTAAGCAGCCTTCAAATCCGTGTTGTTAAATGCTCTGAATGTTGGCCAGAGGGTCACAGACATCCCATTGCAAGTTTGGTTACTTTTCTTGTCGTTTATTTAATTTTCGTTGTATCCCACCATGTCCTCAACACTTTAAGTTCACGTCTTTTGTTGCAATATATGTTTTTATTACATTTTTGTTGGAGTAACTTATTAGCTGCTACATTTTTCACCCCTTATTCAAATAAGTTTGGTAGTTTTATTTTTAGAACTTCCCTTATTTCATATGTGAATTTTGAGTATGTTTTACTGTTGCTTGGCATTTTTTCTTCGCTTCCAGCTCCTGGCGAACAATTTCTTACAACACGAATGCCTTTCACAGAAGTGTTCATTCAATCCCTGGACGATGTCTCTCTTAAATTCTCGTGAAAGACTGCAATCCTGTAAACCACTTAACTATCTCGCCATGCTTCAAGATATTCGAGCCTCTTACCTTCACTGGGTATGGAGATGATAGTAGCCTAAATTTTCTGTTAAGTCTCTAGTTCCGATAGAGCGGGAAAGCAAATTACGCTCCCATTCTGATGATCCCGATACCCATTTGGCTAATCAATTGTGTGGTCACTGCCATTCCTACTTTGATTTCAGTCGATGGCGACCTTACGATGAAAACCAAGATGAGTTAAGTCGTGTGTCTATCATTGCTCATATGGAAGAAGTTGTTTTCGATGTGAGTATCTTATTTGTTCTGATTTGCAAGAAGTTAAACAATCTATTCACATATATACTGTGAACCGCCACCTTTTCTTGCTAATTTTAAGTTAGAGTATTATCATAATAAATGTGTTGATAACAGTAATACAAATTTTGTCGAAAAGTCATTGCGGATTTCATAGCGTAATCGGTTTTTTAATAATTATTGCTATTTTGATCGAAATAAATCGTCTTCGATTTGGCTGACTCACCAAAAAATCTATATTTATTGTCCCCTAATTCGTAATGAATGTATGGGCTTCTTGTTTTGTATCTCTTTCGATCCCAAAAAATGCCTTGCATTAATAAAATTGACAGAAACCGCTTTCAACTAAAATTAAGCATTTGGTTTGTACCACCTTATTAGCTACTAGCGAAAGTATTTTAAGATAAGATGTAAGAATCTAGGTACCTTAATTAAAGTGATCATTGGGTCCTGACGGAATTTATTATCTATAATACGCCAAGATTAACATATTATGCTATGCACCACGATTTTAGGTCCCCGAGTTTAAAGAAGGCGTATCCGATCGAGTTATATTCACTTCTCCACTCGAATCCGACTGGATTCTAGTCTATGACATGGACGGCAGCCAGTCGACCTCATCTCGAACCAATGGAGCCAGCTACCAACTCGTCACACTGATCGATCTTTCCACCGGTCGCCAATTGGACCCCGATGAACCCATTTGTGCAGGCCGTCTTCGCAAAATTCAATCCCAGTGTCCCTCTAGTATCCGGTTTAATCCATCAGAGAACTCTACTTCATCTACGTTCCCAATGGAGTTGAATAACTTTTCAGTAATATCTTCTTGTCGAAGTCTGGATAGGCTTTGTGATCCTTTTGGTGGCTATATCCTCTGTCTTAATAATTGAAAGTGTTCAGATTTGTGAAACCAATAAAATATTTTTTACATTCCTAACGCTTCTTGATATCCTGCATGCTGTACATTGATCCACTTCTTGTTTAACTGTAATGGCTTTACTTTAGAGGACATGTTGGAGTCTGATGAAGAAGTGGTCGAGACCGTTCTAACAGCATCTCTCTCTTACACTCGGTACCCGATGTGTTCATGGTCAGCTCTTAACGAGACCCTACAAGGGGTTATTAGAACTCGCATCTTACAATCTTCCCTACCCTTGAACGTCCTTCTGACTTCTGGTGATGATCGGCCTTGGCGAAGGCTGCAGTTAGTTGCTGAAGATCCAAACTCTTCAAATAATAGTGATTTGGTAATCACATCGAAGTATTGCAGCTCAATTAAACATCCTCAAATGGTCTTGGCTTCCGTGAGTACGGTTGAAGTTGCTCTGGATGAAATTACAAGAATTGCTTATAAGGCTCCTGCGACTGTGGACGTCCTAATTTCTGTTGATTCAATAGAAACGGAACCATTTTTGTGGAAATGTGGTCTGTGTGTCGCTCAGTTTACCATTGGTAAGTAGGTTAGATTTTAGTTTGATGCTTTGTTCTCTTGCCTATATAAGGTTTAATTTTTTAATTAAATGATGTTCTAGATGGCATTAAAATATTAAATGCGAAGGTCGAGATGTAATAATTGTTCACACGTTAATAAAAATGCTTTTTTGTAGCAATTTTTATCCTAATTTGGTTAGTCGACATTGTAAATTTCCTCCAGTATTTGAAAATAGCTTTAATAAGTCCTCTTTCCTGTTCAGTGGAACAGAGCTCAGTTGAGTTGATTGCAGCTCATCTTCGCCTGCACACTGAACTCCGGTGCTGTGAGAAATGTACCACAATTCTTCCCAATAGTCCTCTTGCTGTCGACGCTCCTGATGCTCAGCAGCATCGCTGCACCAGTCTTATTGTTCCGCGGGCTGCTGGTAAGTTCTCTGCTTTTTAGCCATCTCTGCATGTGTTGTAATAGCAGTCACGTGTGTGTGTGTGTGCGCGCTAATGGAGCAGTTGCTATTTACTTCTTCACCCCGTCTGATAAGACACAGTAATTGATACCTTGATGTGCAAGACTTTGGACTTCACAGAGGGGGAGTGGGGTATGGGACAGAAGAGTGATTCACAGATGTAATAGAGATAGGCAAAAAGGTAAGGCGGGTACTGTGGAAGTGCTGGAATATGATATACAGTGGGGTCATGGTAGTTTGAAGTCAGAAGTGAATTGCCGGTTTATAGACTCTTTTATCGTAAAAGTATACGTTGCCCAGGTTGCATCACGTGGAGGTAAGTCTATCGGGACCTCTGAAAGTCATACTAATTTTTACGTCTATTTATATTTTGTATTTCCTTTTTTCAGCTCTTCTAATGCGTATTCAATTGCCTTAAGTAGGAATTAGCGAATCTTATTGTTGTAAACAAGACAGTGTCTATTAATTGCTTAAAATACATCAAATTTATCTTTCCGTTGGGTGCGAGCTCTTTCTTGATTCTGATTTTATTCGTCTTTCTTGCTTTTTAGATTGTGCGTCCAGAGTCCCCCGATCTTCTTTATCCTACGCTCCCAGTGATTCCCAAGTCGATAATGCCATGTGGAAACGTATTTGTGAGGTAAGGAGGTCATTTTTTATGGTTTGTTTTTGATACAATCGCGCATATGATATTGTAGCGGATTGCTACTTTATTAAAACCTGACTGACTCAG